AGACTCGTTGACGTGCACTACCTCCTATAGATTAGTTGACGTGCACTACCTCCTGTAGATTAGTTGACGTGCACTACCTCCTGTAGACTAGTTGACGTGCACTACCTCCTGTAGACTCTTTCCCGTGCACTAGCTCCTGTAGACTCTTTCACGTGCACTAGCTCCTGTAGACTCTTTCCCGTGCACTAGCTCCTGTAGACTCTTTCACGTGCACTAGCTCCTGTAGACTCAGCAGAGAGCAGCCTCTGGTGAACTACAGATGGATTTCTGCAGATTAACTGCAGCTCTAATCCTCAGCAGCACTCGGAGTAAAAACTAATCCCAAAGTGAACAAAGAGCGAGAGCAGAAGTTTCCCAGGATCCTTTCTGCTTTCTGCTGAGTCATTGTGTACAGGAAACTCACCTTCGGAGTTTCTGCTGAGTTGCTGTTTACAGGAAACTCCCCTCAGGCTGCAGGAGACATCAGTTTAATGAGAAACATGTTAAAGTTTAAAATGTGATTACAGTGTAGGTCCTGCTCCTAGAGATGAACACAGGAGGAAATAAAGTTCTATCAGAGGATGAAACTCATATTTTAATCTTGTATTGCTTGTTTTTATTAGACGTAAATAAATGTTGTCCAAAAAGCGAAACTTTTATTTGAAATACAAATATTTGAAATATTCTCTTTTATCGGTTCCTCAAGTTTGTTTTTTAACCTTTGGTTTAAAGTTCACATGTTTTGTTTTCAGAAACCACACAGATTACTTCTCTCAGTCCGGCACGTTTGAGACTCAGTTTTTAATCCGTCGTGTTTCTGTGTTTCCTCTCAGGTTTTATATAAAGTGTACATCTCCTTCGTGGAGGTCGGCGTGGAGAACGTCCAGACGGTGGATTACTTTAAAGGAGTCGGTGAGTTCAGGGAACAAGAACTTATCAAACATTGAAGTTGTAAAAGTGAGTTTGGTATTATGATCTTATAATGTTTATCTTCCTCCTCTTCCTCAGCCTCCTTCCTCATCGTCAGTGTTGGAGGGACTCTGGTTGGTCTGGTCTTCGCCGTTCTGCTCAGCTTCATCACTCGTTTCACTAAGAAGGTCCGGATTATCGAGCCGCTCTTCGTCTTCCTGCTCGTCTACCTCGCCTACCTCACAGCCGAGCTCTTCTCCCTGTCCGCCATCCTGTCGTAAGTCTCTCCTGTCTTAAGTCTCCTGTCCTGCTCTAAGTCTCCCCTGTCTTAAGGTCTCAACATCCCTTCGTAAGTCTCTAAATTCCTGCTTAAGTCCTAACACTCCTGTCGAAGTCTCTAGACATCGCTGTCTTAAGTCTTAAAGCTCCTGTCGTAAGTCTCTCTGTCTCAAGCTCAAACATCCTGTCCGTAAGAGTCCAACATCTGTCTTAAATCCTCAACATCCTGTCTTAAGTCTCTAACATCCTGTCGTAAGTCCCCACATCCTGTCTTAAACTCAACACCTGTCTTAATCTCTAACATCCCGTCTTAAGCTCTAACACCTGTCTTAAGCCTACATCCGTCCGTAGCCTAACAACCTGTCTTGATAGCTCAACATTCCCTTGTCTTAATCTCAACATGCCTGTCTTAAGTCTCAACACCTGTCGTAAGTCTCTAACATCCCCTTAATCCACACCAAGGTTTAAGTCGTCAACATACCTGTCGAAATCTTCCACATCCTCACCTCTTTTAAATCATAAATTCCCTGTTGTAAGCCTAAAAACGAGCATTATCCTACTGCTCATCCAAGTCCCCCAATCCAGTTGTACGACTCAATCATTCCTATCCTAAACTCTTAACTTCCTGTCGTAAAACCTAACCACCCTTACGAAGTCTCCAAACCTCCATTTTAATAAGTGCTACCATTCGTGCCGTAAGTCTAACATCCTGCTAGTCCTATTCCTGCCTAAAAAAGTCAGCACTCCCGCTCCCTCTTCAGAGACGTTCGCGGGAAATCGGGAGCTACTAAAAACGTTGGAGGCGAACATCCCCCAGAAGTCCAGAACACCGTGACAATACACCGATGAGACTCCTGGCAGACATCGGGCAGAGACCCAAATCATCCATCTTCCTCGCACGTCCGCGTGACAAATCAAAGGGCCTGGAACACGGGCCGGTGCCTGCACCCCCTCGCTCTCATCTTCGTCTTCAGGGCCGCAGGTCGACCATTTATTGACCTTAACAGTGACCGTAGGTGACCGTTTAGGTGACCTTTATGACCTTCAAGTGACCTTTAGTACGGCGTATAGTGACCTTTAGTACCCTCAGTGACCTTAGGCCTTAAGACCTTTAGGACCTTTAGACCTCTCTGTGCAGGTGTGTGTGAGCCTTTAGGACCTCCCTTGGCAGGTATGTTTGACCTTTAGTGACCTCCTGGCAGGTGTGTTGACCTTAGGACCCTCGTGCAGGTGGTTTGACCTAAAGTTGCCTCGTGTGGCATGGTGGGCCTTTTAGGGAACCTCTCGGCATGTACAGTTTGCCTTTAAGTGACCTCTCATGTGCAAGGCGTGTTTCGACTTCAGGACCTCTCTGTGCAGTGTGTGTTTGACCCTTTAGTGACCTCCTTCGTGCAGAGTGTGTTGACCTTTAGACCCCTCTGTGCAGGTGGTTTGACCTTTTAGTGACCCTGGCAGTGTCGATTGGTCAGCACCGTGGGTTCGAACGTGCCGGCTCGTCCCATTGGATACAGATCGATCAGCGTGGTCATGGTCGTGACCGCCGCTGCCCGGGGGGCGGTGCCTCCCCTCGGTGTCGCTGGACGAGAACACCGAAGGCTGAAGGAAAACCTTTGGGCCCCACAACGCAT